AGCCCATGAAACATAGGGGAATGACTGTCTATGTCTTCTCCATCTACCTAACCAGGTTTTAGGAGTCTTGGACCAATAAGCAGGCCAGGATATCATTTTCAATTGGGAAAAACTGAGGAAACTGTCACCATGCTTGGCTGGATACTGGTATGTACAGATCTTGCACCTGCCAAAATTTGAATACTGTATGAAGGCAATTGCTTTTATGCCAGATGGTCTTTAAACCTCTGAGTCCTAGATTAAAACTACTGCAGGGAATTTAGTACAGATTTGAAATGATGAGAATGTGGGAGTGTCAGCCTATGTGATGCCAAGACACGTGTCCTCTAGCTACACAAGGTGCAAAATGTAAGAGTTTTTATGGAAAAAACTCTGGCATAAAACTGGTATAAGTAATTCAAAAGAATTACGTGGAATTTATGGATTAAATCCAAAAAGTGGCCAATTTATATTAATAAAATTAATATAAATAAAACCAGAGGGGCCTTATAAATCAGGGGTGGTTTAATCCCTCTAATGTATCGTGCAAAAAGCAGAGGATTTAGGTACCTGATACACTGGGGCCTGTAACAGGTGTGGTTTAAATCCCAGGAGATAATTTTTAGGGGAAAATCTTCAAGAAAGGGTTATTACTTACTAGTAATAATCCTAAGGGGTCTTGAGGATCTTCTTAGTAGAAGCTGGAAAGTTGGGAGCGCTCAGAATGGTTGATTTTGGGTGCAGGGTGATCACTGGGGAGTTTCTTGAGGAATCTTGAGGCTTAATAACAGCAAATATAGTAGTAACTAGGCTAATTACAAGTGTGGGGGACTTGTAAATGGTAAGTATGTTTCTATATGGTATTGTAAAGCTGGGGGATCATTATTTGAGCGGTCAGAAGGCCCTTTAAATACCTGTGGAAGGCCTCAGGGGTTGCTCAGGGGAGCTTAGTAGGACTTGGGGGCGCTTTTTGGCCCGTTTTGGCCCACATGGTGATTTAACCAGGGCTGGAACCTTGGGGATAATATTCCAGAAGCTCCAAGGGGCCATGCACGAAATTCTTACAGACAAGAATGTCCCATGGGTACCTGTGGATAGGGGCTACTCTGTTACGTGGAGCAGGTTCCTTAGAAATGGGCCACAGAATGTTCCAGAGGTGTCTTCTGAGGCTTGCTACACGTGTTACCCATTGGAATATGGTTACTGTAGTATTTTCATGGATATTCTAGCTTGTTTACATTCTTATTACACGTGTGGGGGCTTTGTTGTCATGTGCAATGGGGATTCTGGGGCTTTTGTGGCCCAATCCTTGGATACTGGTGCGCAGCATGACTACATGGCGCGTGGGCTTGGAGACAGGACTCCACACTGCTCTATCTTCTAAACCGTTCACAATACTCCAATTCTCAGACTGGATTTGGAGTATATGCATTATGCAGAAGAGTTACAGTACCCGTGATCTGGGGGTACCTGTTAATTATCCATGCATGTATTACAGGGTGAAGGAGTTAGAATTTGGGGTACCTTTGGCTGAGGTGCCCCAGGTTAAATTGTATGCTGATTCAGAATCTGCAATAATATTTAAGGTTTTGTTTATGCTTTTTAATTTATTCATTTATTTTTATGTATTTTTTATCCTATTTACATAAGTAATATTGTTTCTTTTACTTATGTAATATTTTTTCTTTATACTTAGATTTTTTATGTAATTTATTATTTTATTTGCTATGACAGGTTGTCTCTGCCATAGTAGCAAGCTGACAGGGAGGTTCCAGTGCATATTTCATTCACAAGGTGTTGGGTTTGGGGGTGTTAGTGATTATGAGGAAAAAGTCACAAAAAATATTTAATCTCACATGGGACTTCAAACCAAAGGTCCAAGTCCCTCCTTTGGAGGGTCCCTGTGGGAAGATGTCCTCCCTCTCTTTAGAGGAGGGACTTTGTAAAGTTAGGGATTGAGCACAATCTAGTATAAGATGCATGTTCTGTGCCTGAAAAATGAGAATTTCATTTTTTTTAGAAAAAAGTTCATGTGGAAATAGAATTAAAAAAAGGATCTCAGTGAATAAACTCCCAAACATGGGAGTTCCAACAACACTGAAACAGATACAAGACAAAACAGCATCAGGCATTTTTTTGTATTGTCTCAGAACTTGAATACCCAAAAATACCTTATCTGTGTTGTCTCACTTTCCTGAGACAATACACATGTATTGTCTTTGGAAAGTGAGACACATATTCTGTATTTTCTCAGAGGGATGATCCCACCAAAAAAATCTTTGATACACATGATATTTGGCCGCATTGAAGAAAAAAAATGAAGACAATTTTTTTCACATTTGTAAATTCAAATCTGAGACGATGGATTTTCTCACCTACCAAGGAAATGCTGATACCAGGTATCAGGCTCAAAATAAAAACAATATGAGACAATACCAAATGCATTTCTTGTTTCTGTTTCAGCATTGGTTCCAACTCCCATTTTTGGGAGTCATCCAGAGGACTGCGGGAGGGCTGTCTGAGGACATCCTCCCCCCCCCCCTAAATGCTGCCCCCCCCCTGTGAATTGGGAGTTTGTCCTGCCATTCCTGCAGTAGGAATGAGAGTTGGAGTCCCAAATAAAATAATCATATAAAAATAAAAATAAAACTGCTGGAGGGGTTGGCAGTCAATAGGCCAAAACTGCCAGGAGATGGCAGTTAGCTCTGCCTACAGGTCTCAAAGGCGCAGAGTAAACCTCCCTGCTGTCAAGAGTCAACATCCAGGAGGTTTCCCTCCCAATAACTGAGAATAACCCTCCCTGCCTTTGAGAGAGTACATACACTCTCAACAACTGACAGGCACCCTCCCAGATGTTGAGAGTGTACACTCTTAACAGCAAAGACGGACCCTCTTGGTTGTTGAGAGTGTATACTCTTAATGGTGGAGAGGAAACAGGACCCTGGAACCCCCCCCCCCCCAAATACCTTTTGGAGGTGCGGGGGCGTGGGCGGGCGGGAGGGGGGAAAGTGTGCATCTATCAGCGCAGCATGTATTCAGTAATAATGAGCCTGCACCAGTGACCTTTGAGAAGCAAAAAATTAAAAAATAAATAAACTTTGGATTCATACATACTCTTTTTGGTTTTTTGTTTCTCAAGGGTCACTGGAGGCCTCAGCAGCCAACTCCAAGGGGGGCCTGCCGTTATGGATTTGCCACATGGGTGACCTTGGTTGACCTCAACTATAGAAACAGAATAAATCTCAAATTCCGGCCATTACTTCCAAAAATGAAACAACAGTGGTCTGTCTGCCATACAGTGGTGGACAGCATATTACTGAAACAAATTTCACAGTGTCCCAAATGCTGGGTGAGAAAAATTTGGAGAAATTACCTGCCTTCTGATATCTTTGAGAAAATTGAATGGTAAAATTGGTCAAAGTCAATTTCTTCTGAACCGTGCACTCAAAAATTTTAATAAATTAAACCCAAAAGTTCAAATGATGATCAAAATTAAGCCTTAAAGAGCCCAAAAGGAGTGCAACACAATCATAGACAACACAATTTATGTGTTTATATGTCGACTTGCATGTATGCCTATGTACTGAAGCCTTTCTGGAAGCCCCCACTATGTACTTGGGGTGTAAATATGGGCTTAGAGGATGTGTCCCAAATAATGATTTCAAAAAAAAGAAGAAAAAAAAAGAATGGCTGGTCACATTGCAAAACTGAATAAGATTTAGAATCTACAGCCTCCTAAGAGTCCAAAAAAGACTTTTAGAAATTTGGACTCTTATGGTGGATGGACATTGAGCCCGCGTAGTCTAAATTCTACAAACTTGTGCCGGTTATTCTTGAGAGCATCAAGGAACCAACGTGTTAGCTTTACTGAGTGGAAGAACTCATTATCAGCTGCACCGGGGCACCGCCCTTCATGGGAGTTTTGTGCATGGATAATGTACGCGTAGCGGCGCCCCAGCATTAATTCGGCATCCCTTCTAGCCGTCTCCAATTAGTATTGTCTCTTTCGGATTTGCACCGACCACCTCTGAGTCTCCCTGTAGTGCCCGGTGGTGCTCCCCCTTAAAAATAAGAGGGACTTGGCCCTGAGCGTCCCGTTCCGGGCTCTTCTGCTTCGTGAATTTTGAACTTTTCGACTTGCTATGAAGGTCCAAAAGCTTTCCACGACTGCTGTAAAGACTAGGATGATGTCATGAACAGTGTTTTCCATCGTTCAGCCGCTGGCCCGAGTGACAGAATCTTTCCTACAGGCTCCATGGAAAGCAGGCTAAAGCCGGTTCTGCTGAGGCTTTGATACGGTCAGCCCTGGTCAGCCGCTCTTAGAAAAGAACTTTAATATTCTGTCAACGGGCCGACTGACTGCTGTGATGGAAGGCAATGGAGACTCGAGCGGCGCTCGCACAACGAGTGAAAAGTTCGATGGAACTACGCCAGTTCTTGAGGCTTGTTAATTAAACTTGTAAAGGACGTGATCAAGTGGCGGCCACCTTCTACACTGAGCTGCATCTCCTTTCGAATTCACCACATATCTTCAATTGAACTATATAGCCTGACGGATAAAGTTTTACACCTGGTAAAAGAAACTTCAAGTAAGTGTGCACATAGCACTATTTATGTATTCATAGCTGTACCGCCTTTTACAATTATACACAAACAATTCACCACTTCATGGTTAGTTCGAAAAGGAATACTACGAGGAATTCGCCATATCAGGTGTACATCTGCGCTGCTGAGGTTAGCTAGGTTGGAGGGGTATTCCATGGGGTAGATAAATAGCCTCAAATGGACCAGTAGTTCCAGTTCTCCATCCCCATCTTCCGTTCACAAATCACCATAGCAAGTTATTACTCTCTGTTACAAGAGTCAGCTTTCCACATTCTTTCCAACAGGTAACTGAAAATTTCTACAACCACTTTACGAATTGGATGAAAAGTTGATTGATGATTCTTGTGGTTTGTATCTTCACCGCTCTTGTTTCTTTTCTACTTGTTTTATACAGATCAAATACCGAAGCTTTCAAAATGAAACTCTTGTCGATGGCCGCCACTTTAATTGCCTGCCTGAGCTTCTGTGAGCACGAGGCCTTCGTTTTCGTATAATAAGCCTTTGATTTCTATGCCGACAAAACTGACGTTTCTCCTGCCTTCCCTTTGGTCGATGTCATCTGAAAAAAAAAAGTTGAGGGGACCGGCGCAGCGCCAGCACCCAGTCTTGCGAACCAATTGGATCCCTTAGACATGGGCGTCGCCGCTCCTGAATTGTCGCAGTACCAGAAGAGAGGCGATCTCTTCGGGCAAGGCTCACTCGAGGCTGTCACCGGCGTCGGGGCCAGCGAAACCGGCGAGACCGGCGAGACCGGCGAGACCGACGACGAGAGCGATGAGGATTTTTCGGCGGAGGACTAAAAAACTTCAGATTGATTCCAAACATATCTTATCTTTCGCGTGCTACAATTCTATGTAAAATAAATCTAATCTCTCGTCTGTCACTATCTCTTACCGCTCACTATGGGCTCTAGGCTTGAATTACTTTTATCCATATTTTTATTTTCACTTCTATCACACGAGTTAGCTATTACAATTCATCTACAGTTGGAAGGCTTCTCGAGATGATTACCTATACATACCTTAATTGTTTTGCGCTTTTTGATTATGTGTTTCTTTCCTTATAATACATATATCAGACACTGGAGCCATCTGTTTCCCCAGAAACTCTTCTCCCGAACATGGGGGAGAGGAAAGTCCACATTCCGGTGCTTTTGCTGTTGTTGTTGGAGATAAGACAGGGGAATGATTCCCAGTAATCAGTTATTTTGCTTTCATCTTTATCATCAAGTGAAAGTTAAGTACCCTGGAGGTAATTGAGCTGTGCCGAATTCAGGAAAGCTTTTAGGTAGGCTGTTTGTCGTGTTAGACACTCAGAACTCTGTGTAAAGTGCTCAGAATTTCTTCCTCGCAATTCTTTGAATTCCACCCAATCGTTGGAGAAGGAACAGTTGGCTAATCGGCCATTAAGAGTCCAGTTTTGCGCGGGGCAGGACAGGTACATCACCAACGGGTTGAGCTGTTTCCATGGTTCGTTGGAGTCCATTTGCAGCAGTTAATCTTCGGCCATGGTGTGCTAAATACGCAGTGCGCAGGGTGGAGTCGAAATCGGGCAAGTTGTGGTTCGCTCGATTTTAATCAGGTTTAGACTGTTTCTGACCCGCGCCACAGCCCATGTCAGATACTCGATCGGACTGTCAGAAACTCGGGTCGCCTGAAATTGCTCGTCATCAGTTCTTGTTGACCGTTCTCCCCCTGCCGGCTCCCCCCACCTACAATTGCCTGTTGACCACCAACTTGCACTTGCCCCTCAAACTTGCAACCGGCAACTTCTTCTTACAACAACTTCAACTTGAACAACTTCACCTTCAAGTCACTCTTAGCAGCACCATCATGGCGTAAGTCTCTTTCCTCATCTAACCAAGCCCACTCCTTGCTCATCTTTTCCTCCACCCGCCCATGATAGGCCCTATACCAAACCTGAGACCGTGCTTAGGGTGAGTGTTATTCAAAGACAAGCTATCGACTTTCCGTAATCCAAACTGATCATCTGTTGGCTGTTGCAGCGCTCCGAGGAGCTCCTCTCGGTCAACCAACCCATGTCCGCCTTGGCATCGATCTCTGAAATCTTCTCCTCCAAGCGATTCAGACAAACACCCCTCTCCTCACTCGAACCGATCATGTTACGATTCATCGATCTCTGTGTCCTCCTCAGAAAAACTCGGAACGTCAAGGAGGGTCTACACATGTACAAGAATGTAGCCCAAAACACTAGCGTCAGTAGTGTCGAAATGGTCGTCCAGCACTTCATCACCAAATCCAAGGAGAAGTTGGACGAAGCCTTGGCTAAGGTGGATGAGATCGAAGGGCCACTCGTCGCCGAAGGAGCTGACCAGGAGAACGGCGCCGCTCTCGTCGATGATCTCGAGGCTACCGAAACCCCTGAGAGTTTGCTGATGTCCACCGTCAGCGAGGAAAAATCTAGAGATCGTACCTATCGAGAATTAGTTACCCCATGGCTGAGATCGCTCTGGGAGGCCTATCGAACTGCTCTTGACATACTCAGGAACAATTCTCGTCTGGAAAACTTCTACCAGGTAGGTCAATACAACCCCCCCCCCTCTTAGCCTCACTTCATTCACTCATCACTCCATTCATCCTCTCTAGCAAATCGCCACCGAGGCCTTCGAGTTCTGTCTCACCCACACCCGCAAGACCGAGTTTAGAAGATTGGCAGAAACTTTGCGATCGAACCTCGCATCATCCCAAAAATACACCAACCAGGCCCACTCCATCAACCTGTCCGATCCTGATGTGCTTCAGCGTCATCTCGAGACTCGCTTCCAGCAGCTCAACACATCTGTCAAGCTTGAGCTATGGCAGGAATCCTTCCGCACCGCTGAAGATATCAACGGGCTCATCGGTTTGAGCAAAAAGGTACCCAAAAACCATGTCATGAGTGCCTTCTACGAAAAGATGATCCGAGTCTTTGGCGTGGGTGAGAACCACTTGTTCCACGCGGCTGCTTACAACAAGTATTTCACCATCCAAGCCAACGTTGCGGCCGATCAACCGGACAAACTCAAAAAGTTATCCGGTCTTGTCTTGTTATCTGCCTTAGCCGTACCGGTCGTTGGCTCGAGCACATCTACCAATGAACCTCAAAGGAAGATGAGAGACAACGAGGAGGACTCAAACAGCTTGAACAAGACCAAACTGGGTCGTCTCGCTAGCCTGCTGGGGTTGACTTCCTTGCCCACTCGTGCGAACCTGTTGAAGGACGCTCTGATGAGAGGAGTACTGAAGAAGTCGTCGCCCGAGCTGCACTCGTTATACGAAATCCTTGAAGTCGACTTTCATCCACTCTCGATCACTTCCAAGATCCAACCCATCTTACAGCAGCTTTCTGAGGATGAAGAAACCAAGCGATATGTCGAGCCACTGAAAGAGGTCGTGCTCACTCGTCTCTTCCAACAACTCTCCCAAGTGTACGATTCCCTGAAATTAAATCGAGTGATCAAATTAGCATCCTTCGGAGATTCTGAGCCTGAGAACTTGAAAATCACTCGCATTAGAGTTGAGAAGTTTTTGATGGAAGCTTGCAAACGTGGTGAATTGGAGGTGACGTTGGACCATTCAAGCCAGCTGATCAAGTTTACAGATCGGATGTTCGAAAACGAAACTAACAGTCAGATCAGCTCAACCCAACTTCCGACTTCGAACATTCCATCCTTACTGAGCTTCAACAAGGACCAAGACTTGGTCCCCACTCAGAGTCTCGCCAAAAGTGGCGTCCTTCAACCCAACTCGGCCAGCTTACTTCGTACTCATCTAACCCGCTTGGCCAGCGCCCTCACAGTCTCGCTCAATCACATCATGCCTGTTCTGTCGACGATCAATGAGACTGCCACACCAGACCTTCATCTGGTGAAATCGGTTGCCCTGCAAGCCTTACAGATTGACGGTCCTAAACAGAGAAAGATGCTACAGAAACGGAAGGTGACGATCGAAGAACGAAAACGAAAGGTCGAAGAGCTCAGGCAGAAGCAAGATATCGAGGAAGCAAAAGCTAAGGCGCTGAGGATCATCCAAATCCAAGAAGAACAACAGATTCGCCTGCAGAAGCAGAATAAGGAGAGAGAGATCAAGAAACTCAAGGATGAAGCTGATAAAATTCGGGCGGCTGAAGCCGAGAAAGTTGCTATGGCGTTGGCTGCTCAGGCCGGTCTGAACGTTGATATCAAGGTATATTTCATCAGTTTATCTAGCTATGGTAGATAACTTATACCCACATGACTGAACCTTGACTCATTTGTTATTCTTCAGAACTTGAAGGGCGTAGATACCAACACGATCATTCAAATGGGAGTCGAACAAATCGAAAAGGAGAAGAAAGAGTTGGCAGCGAAAATGAAAACGGTCAACAAACGATTAGATCATACCGAACGAGCCATGCGACGAGAAGAGATTCCCCTGTTGGCGGAGGACTACAAACTCCAACAAATCAGGGATGAGACGAATATGAAGAAGTTACAAGAGGAACTTGTCGAAGGATTGCAAACTAAGCACGCAAATGAGGTGACGATCAAACACAAGTTGCAGAAGATGATGCCCGACTTCCTCAAATTCAAAGAACGGATAGCCAACCAACGAGGCCATGATTACAAGAAAGCCAAGGAAGAATCGCTGATCAAGATCGAGCAAGCGAAGATCGAGCGTCGTGCCCAGGTGGTCAAGGAGCGCAAGCTTGCGAAAGCCAAGGCGGCCGAGGAGCTCAAAATGAAGGAGGAGGAGGAGCGACTCGAAGAGGAACGCAAGAAGAAGCAGGCAGAAATTGACGAGCAGGAGCGCATCCTCAAGGCCGAGGCCGAGGCTAAAGCTAAAGCCATGCGTGAGGAACGTGAGAAAGAGAGGGCTGCTGCTGCTGAAGTAAGCCCCCTTATCTTTTTCACATTTGACTAACTGTCCGATTTCCTTTTGTGGAAGACTGACCATTTTCAAATTCATCTCTTTAGATGGCTGCTAAACAAGCCCAGAGAGAAGCCGAAGCTATGGCTAAGAGAGAAAATAAAAAACTCGCCGAACGAGCCGCTGCTCCACCTTCCGCGTAAGTGAAATGCTTGACTCGAGAGGCACACATGCTCAATATTGATGAGGAATGATGTTATCATGCAAGCAGTGGGCCGGCAGCACCGACGGCTGAACCATGGCGACGAACGGGACCAGGAATCGGAGCAGGCGCGGAGGCGGGGGCGATAGTGAGTGGGGTAGCGGCGTCGGCGGCTGAAGCCCGACCACCGGTGGTAGCTGAGCTCAAGCGGCCGACGATCCTGCCCGGTGCGACCAAGGCGGGTGGCTGGCGAGAGCGACTGGCAATGAAGGGTGGCGAGGAGAGCGAGAGCACCAGCCCGGTCGGCGGCCTCAGTCGCGTTTCCTCCGCCTCGGGCACCCGCCGCGACAATCTTCCGCCTCCTTCCACCGGAACGGGTGGCTCCGGAAACGCCTACAAACCTCCCCAGAATCGTACCGAACCTGGCTCGGGAGCTAATTCAAGAACCCCGAGTGGAAGAGGTGCCTCCAGATGGTAGTCTTCTCTTGTCTCTTGGTTGCCCAAATCCGTACTTTCGTTCCGCTTCCAAAAATAAGTTCATTCATACATATTCTACCCACCCATTTACCTTTCCCTATCTCTCTATCTATATGACTACAAATTAGAAGAAACTACAAAAAAAACCCTCATAGGGTTTGTTCTTAGTTACCAACAACTCTTACCAGATCTTTTCTCTCGTTTCTTTTTTTTTTCTTTTGTTCTGGTCAATGGGTTCGATCTTGGGATTCGGTCCGAGTTAGAAGCTTTTGGTCCCCTTTAGTTTTCTTTTGTTTTATGTTATTATTGTTTTTTTTGTTTGATGACTAGTAGACTAGAATCAAATGACGAAAAAGATATGGTTTGCTTTCTATCGAAGTACAGCTCTTCCCCTTTTTGTTCGGGAGGGGTCACAAGGACCACTAACATGAGAATTAACAAAATCAGTCTTGACGATTTTGGTTGGCTCTCAAAGATTTCTTCGGTTTTGACTGGGCCTCTTTTTGCAAGAACCTTGATCAACCAATTCACCAAGAGGTGCTGGTGTTTACCTGACAAAGTACGAAAAAAGATGCCAGAGCTCAGCAATGGATCTGAAGCTTCACGTGTTCATAAGACTCTAGAGCGTCTCTCCTAGGTTTCTTGTGCTTTTATAAGACCCTTTACGTCGGTATTTCATCAAAAAAATAGAAAAACTCATTTATTAACAACCTTGCAAAGCAGGAAAACTGGAAGGACTTCTTGCAAGGTCTTTTTTCTCTGTGTAAAGAAGTAAGTTTTTTTACAGAGAAGCATGCAGTTTTTTTTGTCATATTTTTTGCCTTGAGCTTGGATCAGTTTTGCCTAAAAAGCTTCTTGTCACCTTTGATCGCCGCTCGTAGTTATTGACGAGCGGTCCTTGGAAAATATCAGATAAGGGCTTGGCGCTGAGTCTGTTGATTTAGATCCGATAACCCCATCATCATACATAACACTTTTTACCAATTCACACGTTACCCTTGATCCTTGCGAAGTCAAACAGTAATACATACCCAAACAGATAGGTTTCGGAAAGCCTGGTCTGGTTATAGCTTGCGACTCTGAGAGCAAGAGTGTGGATCTTATAATGAATACTGGCCACTTGAATGGGTTTTGCTCAGACTATCAAAAAATCGGGAACTTGATCTCTACTGGAAATTGTAAGCTCTCAAACCGCCTGAATAATGCTCAACACATAATCTTTCTTGAGAAAGTGAAGACATATTCATCAAGAATCAAGGATACCTCATGTCGGGTCGCACTTCAAAGGAGGGCAAGGAGTTTGCAAACATACATCGAAACCGGACCACCCCATTCTCCGAAGAGCATGCGAAGATAATTGGACCTGGTCCATACAGCACTCGAGGCACAAAAACAGGGATGTCCTCGAGGCTCTGGGCAACGAAAACCCGACAAAAACATTTCTCCCAAGGGGGCTCGAACCCCTGACATCAACGTCTCTTTCGAGATTGTGCTTTCCAAAGCATATGGGCTTCCGAAGAATGCCACAATATAAGCATTGCGCTCTACCAACTAAGCTATGGGAGACTGGTATGACGTCAGGCACCGTTTTTGTGGCTATAAACCCAAGCACTATAGTTTCTGGGTTGATAATCACAATTTTTACAGAAATAAAATAAAGAAGCATCTGTTTCAAATGAACAAGTGTTTGGTTATTGCAACAATGCCCCTGTTACTTATGCTGATGACTTGATTGATGAGGGAATGGACTCATGGAGCTTGTGGCCCAAAGAAACATAACATTCATCAATTTTCTTGCACTCCAGGATATCAACATTGCTGTTGCTGGTTGTCACCAGATTGGTAATGCTGCCTCTAGGCTCTTGACAGTGGACAATCACCTTGGGTTTAAAGTTTGAATTAGTTTGAATTGATAGAGAGAGATGGTATTGAAAAGGCAGGTTTGGAGGAATCTGAAGTGGAGAGCTTGACATGATCCTTTGATTTTGATGTAAACTGAGTAGGTACAGCAATTAAGCTTTATTCACAACTATGAGACCACCTGGTTCCAGTGGCTAAGTCTTTTGAATTGGTGTGTGTCTGTTCTCTTTACTCAAGGCAACACCCCAATCAAGAAATGTTGGCCAATCAATTTACCTCAAATCTATTCAATCTGAGGAGTATGATGTAGGAAAAGAAGATGTACCCTTGTTGGAGATGAACTTCAAAATCAGAAGAAGCTAGCTTAATTCACATATCTAGGACTCCTCAAAGCTACAGTTTATGTACAGAAAATCAGGTGATTGGAAAAACCCATTGAATGATAGGAAATTTGAGGGCCAGTCTAAAACTTTAAGGTTGATGTGTCAAAATCAAGTGTCATAAACATTTGGAATAAAGCTGAAGTCTCAAAGTTTTGTGGTAAAACTTTCCACATGTCACCACATTTATGACGCTCAAATGTGACAGTTGATTTGCTGACACCAACAAATGCAGCCTAAGGTTGTATTATATTCAGAAAATGATCTACTCTATAACAAGTTGGGCCCTAGTCCATTCAATATGTGTCTTTTAATCATCTTTCCTGTAGTTTAGCTTGGCACATTATTTTTTATCAAGATTGATACTGATCGGTTGGGAATGTTTTGAATCAATTTCTGGGTTCAAGTTGAAGTTGAACCTCAAAATATCCTTGATTTATAAATTTATCAAGGCTCAGTTATAATGCTTTACCCAAATAAGCTAAAGGCTGGGGATAGAAGGTGAAGTTGAAAGATTGACTTTTTTGATCACCAATAAGCAGTATATACAATTGAAACTATCTCAGATTCAGAACAGAGAACGGAACTAAATCCACCATTTTGTAATCACTACTGAAGGCCACACTCAAAAAAAGTATCCCATTTGAGGAAGCATTAAATCTGGAACCAAACCTAACCCAAATGCAAAAAATGAGGGGAACATAGATCTATTCCAGCTCCCAGTGCCCACCCACATCCCACATCAAAAGTAGGCTGTTGGACACCGGTTTATCTCCAAGGCTGACATGTAGCACATCATTAATCATGATTATCAGTACAACACAATGTCATCCATGGACAAGGAAATATCTCCAAACCCCACAAAATAAATCTGCTGTTGCAGGTGGGGTCAGTGCCAGTGAAGAACTTCCTACATATTATTGATGATACATAATCCAGCTTTCCTCAAGCTATTTTCATGAACTTGTTTGGTGGCCGTGGGGAGAACTCGATCTCACTCAATTTCAATCACCATTTCCTTAAGAAAATTTGGAATTGAGTTTTCAAACTTCATAAATAGCAAGTCCTTTAGTCCTTGATTTTCAGCCACATGCATGTCCAAACCCACCCGAGCCTAAGGTGGTCCCGGGCCTCCCATGGGCGACCCGAGTTCACACACAGCCCGAAGCCTATGTGATCTTATGCCGGGGTGCGCCTTCTGGGTTTTCATCCAATCATGTAATTTTCACTGGGGTCACAAAGTAGAAAGTCAAACACTAGTTGGCCCGGTTCTGGGCGAATCTTCATAGTAGGGTAGGTTTCCCTAGCTCGGGAGGTTCAATAGTCGCCAATCAAACAGTTGGATGAAACTCGGCCAACGGCGGTCCATTCACCATTGTATGTCTTTTTCCTTGTGGCTGGAATCGACTACGAAGATCAGTGCTTCGCAGCGGACATCGACGCTTGACTGCATCTACGAATCTAACCAAGGCTAGACGATTTTTCCTGATTTGAGGCACTAGGGCGAATGGCCTTGGGGGCTGGATGCCTAGTGCTTAGAACGGCCTGGGGGGGCTGAAAGTGTCGAAGTACCAGCCTCTAGGGTGTGCATTGTAGGCTTGCAAGAATCAAGTTACTTGGTTGAAGAAATCATATCAAGTAGCTCAAAACGAAATCTCAAATGACTGCCAAAAGAAGGCTGGCTGGATTTTTTCGATGTCGATTCTGATAAGGTCCGCCGAGTGACTGATGACTGGACCGAGCAGGCCGGAGAGACGCGACCAATCAGACCATTCTTCAGATGGCTTGCTGTCCGATGAAGCTGGCTGGCCGAGTTATCTCTCCTCCTCATTTTGCAAGCCAGGGAAGGTCTATATAAGGAAGACTTCCTTGGCCACCCTGTCTTCTTTCCTCATCCCACATTCTTCTCACTTTAATAATCTAGGATACTTCATCACTTAATCATAATCCAGAAAGCCTTACTCTACATTTATAACTGTTCGTGCCAGAGCATCCTCCAGCCTTAACCTCGACTAGAATCGCGTTTAATTATTCCGCTTCAGTTCTGAACTCTATTCCTATATCCCGCCTGAATCATAACTATCCCCAGAGAATTTGCCAACAAAACTTGTAAGCACCTCGAGCACTCACGGTCGTTTCATACCGTGGTTTGGTCCTGATTATTTTGGTCCTTCTCACTACGCAGTTTCTTAGCTTTCAGCTTGGATACCCAACGGCAAAGCTCTTCTCAATATAAGATGCCTGCCACTCACTCCTCAACCCAGCGTCGCTCTTCTCTCAAATGTCCTGCCCTCAGCCACAATCCTATTCGCAGCCTTTCCCTACCGACTCACCATGAAAAGCCTCAAAAGAGCAACCGTGTCCGCTTTGCGATCTGCACTCGTGCTCCACAAGCTGAAACTCCCCGCCGCCCACTTAATGCACCAGGTTCAAAACAACAAACGCGCGTTAAAGTTGGCCAACTAGCCCCAACGAGGATCCCTTGCCGGATTCAATCTGGGAGACCAAATGGAATCTCTCCTCGCGCTAGAAAAGAACGCAGCCAAGCCGAACGAAACCAGAGGTCTAAAACCCTCCAAGCCACCCAACGAGCTCATCAGCGACCCCGGCGAGTCTCGAGCAGCCATCTTGAACGCACTCGAGCGTCGTCAGATGGGCAATACCCAAACGCGACATTACCATTATACATTCCAAGCCATTCACGCGCCGCCTTATCCCCTTGTCTATCCTCTCCCTCCAAAATCAACTGTTCAATCTCCTCATCGAATCCCGGAGGCTGCGAAAAACTGCTCCAAAAAATCCATCGTCCAGTTCCAGCATCAATCGACCATAACCAGAAGCCTGCCTGTCAAGACTCTGTCATGGATCTGGGCTTGAAGGCCCAGAGCAAAGCGTATACCTTGTCCCCCTCCTGGTGCTCCCCAAACATTCACAGTGCGGTTCACAAGTACAATGTCTCGAGAAGCAAAACCCAAACAACCGACAACGAAATCCTGTCCATATTTCTCAAAAACAATGGAGGTTATCTTGACGATAGTGATGATGAAGATGATGAGGAAGATGAGGAAGATGAGGAGGAAGATTCGGAAGAGGCAGAGGAATCCTTCACCTCCGTCAGAGCCACCGTCGCGTTCCTCAAGAGGATCCCATTGTATCCCTTCGAGTTCCGCAAGCCAACGTCGCTCTCCTACTCTGAGCAATTCAACGATCTCTCACTCCTCGACATCTCCACTAGTCGATCTGCTTCTGATTCTTCGACTAGTCCCTCCCAGGCTCATTCTTCCCCCCCGCGCTATTACTGGAATCGCGTCCTGCCTACCACCCCCGTCACTCCTACTCCTAAAACTCGGTCTCGTTTCACTTTTTATAAAAAATGAAAAATCTCTTTCACCTACCAATCTAATCATTCCTCTTGATAAGCTCTAATTTTAATTTAATCTTCAATTCTTCGATCTTTCAACTAATAACACCTTTTGATCCAACTCGAGTTATCCTTAATATGAGTTTGTTCTGTTCTGTTCTGTTATTTTTTTGCAACTCTTTTTGTGTTGTTGCTTTTATCTCTCATCTTAAATTATCTCTCTGAAAAATTTTCTGTATCACTTCGAAGAAGTACTAGCATCATCATCATCATCATCAATTTCCCCACTTTTAATAACTCGTAATTTTAAAACTTTCATAACAGCAATTACTTCCTCAAAACATGTCTTTTGTTCAAGGGATTATCAGTTGGTCTCGAATTGGTTGGGGTGTGTTTATCATGCAGAAGGTAAACTTGATCAGAGAAAGCAATGAACTAATTTTGATCATTTCTCGTGATAAGTCTTACCGATATGGACCGTGTTGAACATCAACAAGTGAGATTTGTCGCTTTTGTTCTGGATAGGGGAAAGGTTTTTCAGAGTTCCATTCACATAATGTACCTCCACAACATTTTTACCAACATGTAAATAAATTTTTGTAACACTTCTCATCTCATGGAAGGATTCAACAGTTCTACAGCAGTACCGCGTGGCGTGCACAGTTCCACATCAAAACGAATGTCTATCCTTGGAGTCCCCTGCCACCATGATGATTGAAGTTAAGCATGTCCTGCAGTACTCAAGGCTTCTTCTCTTCAATTATGTAGACTCTCTCCGATTAGTCTGAGGATCAACAAGTGGATGATTCAAACTTAGCTAAGTCCCCCTTCGTCGCGAAGCGACCCTCCGAAGGAGGGACTTACGGGCAAAGCCGCCCCCGCGGCCCATGAGGATTAGACAATTGGCTGGTGAATATTTCAAAACTAATCTGGCCGACCCATTCCTGAACCTTTTTGGCAATGGTTTGGATTTTCGTGGAATCGTGATGGTCTCACTCGTGCGCATCTCTCCATCATCTCCACTACCCTTCACACCTCATGGTTGGAGCTCAGTGGTTGGATGTTCATTTTATCAACTCTGGATTATGTGTTATGCCTATGCTTTGAGTCCAGCATCTTCCATTCGGGTGCCCTGTATCCAAAAAACTATGGCTCAAGCAGTTGATTTGAGTCGCTGTATCCTATGCAGCTGGTCTTGAGTGTCAGATACGGTGGGCTGTACAAAGTGAACACAAAGAATCGAACTGTCGGTTGCATTCATAAATGTTCAGCTGAGAAAGCAGCCAGTGGCCTCCCTCCATCACGGAGGCCACTGTGTGATTCTCCAGCATTTGCCGCTCATTTTGGCACGCCGCTTGTGGGACGACATGCGAGTGAGCGGCCTTGTAAAGAGCTTGCAAAAAAAAGCCACCTTTTCCTAATCCTCATGGGCGAGGAGGGTGACTTAGCACATAAGTCCCTCCTTCGGAGGGTCCCTGCGGGACGGCGTCCCCCCTCCGAATAAAGAGGGACTTAGTTAAGTTAGTGGATGATTGTGGGATGGATTGCTTGATGAACTCTTTCTGGATGGATGGATGTTAATGGCTGAGATCGGAAGAAGCGCTGCTATCCCAGTCTGTCCGTTCAATTTCCAATAGTGCTTCTTAGTGCTGTCAAGCACTGCCTCCATCCAACTTCACCACCATTCACATACACATTTGAATGTCTGCTTCTGCCTTCTGGTTCTACATAATTGTGAATGCTTATGTTGCTTCGGGAATCCACCAACTCCTTCTTCTGCTTGGGCCCAGAGTCATACTGAGTTTATATAAGAGTAAGCTTGGTTCTTAAATGGATTGTACACGAATACTGCAAGACTGACGATGACCGACCATGCCGACTTACAGTACAAGCAAACAGACCCAAACAGATAGCAAAATTCGATATCCATATCATTCGTACCACGCCCTGGATCAAGCCACTTGACATCCTTCTACATATTTAATAAGACTGCAATTGGATCTCATCAGATTCACCGAGCACTTAACCACACAACATGATACCCTACTCAACAGCTCCAAAGATGCTCCAGTCTTCCATCCTCCTCCTCCTGGCCCTCAGTCTAGCTTGCGTCAACGCCTACGAATGTCCCGAGGAGAACAAGGAAGAGGTCGACCGGGATGGGTTCTTCCACGAGGTGCGTCCCAACATCCCCAGAAATCAGTACAGAGCACGCCCATCCAGATCTTCTTTTTTTTTCTTTGGGTTCTCAAAATCATAGGGATTCCACGTAGGATGGGACATGCACCACGTCGGCTGGGTGAGCCTACTTCATCCCAATCACTTCCAATCATCATTCCGCTGATTATCTGTCTTCCACTCAGGCCGCTGCAGGTGTCATGGCCTCCATCGCCACCATCGCCAGTCTGGCCAACATATAGTCCGTCCCTTCCCTCCTTCAGTTCGGAATACCTTTGTGTCTAATGAAATTACACCAACAGCATGCATTGCAAGAACTATAATAAGCCCCTCGAGCAGCGCCAGATCGTCCGCATCCTCCTCATGCCAGCCATCTACTCCATCAGCTCATTCTTCGCATACCGATACTACCGCCATTACGTCTACTTTGCTATCATCAGGTCTCGCTCCATCCTCCATATATAACGCCTCTCTCATAAAAAGAAAGGAAAATAAACTCTTCCAACTGACCTTCGCTCGTGCTCTCCATCTATAACCCATGACTACAGGGATACATGTGAGTCTTTCTTGACGGTCACTCGCATACATAACTGGAAAAAGCGCGTCTGACTAGCCGGATTATCTGCACCGTTCCCAATCTTAGACGAGGCCTTCGTCCTGGCCTCCTTCTTGATCCTCTGTCTCCTCTACGTCGGTCGTTCCCCTCTCGAACAACAGGAAGTCATGAAACAGAAGGAGAAAACTCCGCTGGTCTTCCCCTTTTGTTGCTTCCGGTCGGTTCCCCCCCCCCCCCCCCCCACCTCCTTTCAATAGATCTGTATTTCTGATATCCTCAGTGTTCCTTATCATCACGCGGCCCTTTTTCTTCCCCTACAGTTATCGGCCCTCTAAACCATACTTCCTAGTTGCCACCAAATGGAGCGTCTTACAAGTTCGTCGGCATCTCTCCCTTAGCTCTATTTTTTTTTTTTTTTCGCTGCTGACATATGTCCTTCGTCTTGGCTCGATCCAGTACGTGATCTTGCGACCGATGATCTCGGCAACCGCGTTGATCACCGACACCCAGAAGGCTTTCTGCGCCTCCTCCTACAGTCCCCACTTCGCCAATGTCAATCCCGTCTCCAATTTCATTCCTTTTCCCTCTCAACTCTTTCTTGGACGCGTCCAAAAAAACTCATTTTGGTTTCCCTTTTCGTTTTTGTAGTTATGGTTGACCATTCTGATTTTTATCTCTGCAACCCTGGCACTCTATGGACTCTTGATCACCAAGCATCTAGCCAAGGAGGACTTACAAGGGCACCGTCCGACGTGCAAGTTCATGTCGATCAAGTTGAGGCCCATTCTCGTCCTCATCCTCTTTCCTCTTTGAAAGAAAAAAAATCAAACTGATTGAAGCCATCCTCCGTCCATCCATAGGATTGCGGTCTTCTTGGTGTTCTATCAGAGCTTCTTGCTCTCGTTCTTCGATCATTTGGGCTTCTTCCAAGCCACCGAATATTGGTCCAGATCTAATATCGCAGACGGCGTCAATGCGCTCGCGACGACGGTCGAAATGGCCATCGTCGGCCTCTTCCAACTCTACGCTTTGTTGAGTCCCTCCGGTCTCTTTGACTGCTTTTTCTCTCTCTCTCTTAACTTATTCTCTTCTTCAATTATTGTCTTCTTTTGTAGTCCTTATACCGAATATCGCGCACTCATTAAAGGTTCCGAAGCCAATCGCCAGAAATCGGTCTGGAAGAATTTCTTGCACTCCCAAGAGTAAACAAATCTTTCCTTCGACTCTCCCCAGCAACATCCTTGCACTGACTTTTCATGCCATTTTTTTTTCTTTCTTCTTCTTTGTTGTAAACACAGTTATCGGGATTTTGGCAGGGATATCTTGATGGGTCTTGGGTTCTGGCTCGACCGAATCCGCGGAGCTGAATACACCAAATCACGACATGCGACGCCGCAGGGAGCGAACGGCTTAGATTTTCAAGCGGCGGTAAGCTTTTTTTTTTTTTGTTAAGGGATCTGTTTAGTGAAGGGAGTACTGACACCAGTGAGTTTTTTTTGCCGGGTTTTTCTAGTTTGGTCTGGATCCGGCACATGCAAGGATCAGAGATCACGAATGGGTCCAAGCCCACGAGCGGCCCTCGAGTGGGACAACTCAGAAGGGATGGGCCGACCACGAAGGAGGGCTAGATGATGTGTGGGATTCGAAGCTAGGCGGTCAGAAACAAAGTCAAAGCTTCGAGACGTGCGCGGAGGAGCCGGCCTATGAATCCGTACGTCCCTTTTCTTGCCTATCACCGGAACAAAGACTTATTTGGAGTTGTATCTACTCGGATCTATAAGATCAAGCTTGGCCAAGTCGATCCGCAATACCCCGACCCTTCATCCTCACCTCCGTATCGCTCTTCTCCTTTCGCCGATCACCCCTCAGATGGCCGAATCCCGCGCTCCACTGACCTTGACACTCTCGTCCATTCCTCCGCTTCCTCGCGTCATAAACGGGTGGATTCCGAGGGAAGCTCACATTCCGCCGATTCCCAACCCGGCGTCCTTCTCGGGCCTCCATCCTCTGCTGACTACCCGCATCAGGAATTCCACACCAAGAATTGATTGCCACCCTAACTCTTTTATCTTTTTATACTCCCCCTCCTCCCTGTTGTCGATACACATACATAGATATATACTCTCTCCCCATCACTCTGTCTCCTCCATTTTTATCATTTCTGTTTCATTGTATTAGTTTCTCCCCTTTGGTTTCTTTGTTATCCGTGATCACGTGTGATGTGTCTGTCTGTGTTCGCCAGTAAGTGTCGATCTTCTTCATTTTCTTCCTTTTCTTCTCAGTGGTTTATTTCTTTTCCTTTTTTTTTGAACTTTCTTGAACAATAATCCTTCCTTTTTTTTGTCTTGCTTTTTCTTATCAGTTATACAGGGAATGTTTTTTTGTTTTGGTTTTTGTGCGGTCAACCTTTTTTACTGGTGTTGGAAAAAGCATTTATAATCTATCTATATATATCCGTATACACATTATACAACATCAACACACATCAGAGGAACCCTGGAATCCCCAACCTTGCGAGTGTTTTACACATATGACGCTTTCCTTTTTTTGGTGGGCTTTTTTAACCCTTTAATTGTGTGGGTCAAATTTAAGAAACAAAGGAAAAGAAAGCAAGGCAAAAAAAAGTCAATGGCTGAAAAGTTGGGCTAGTTCAAATCATACATACACCTACAATTCCTACTGTGCAGTCAAAGATTGGAGCTCTAGTTGGCGTCAAAGGTGGATAAATTCTCGTCAGTTTTTTACCCCATGCATATAATATAGCCATCAGAAAGAAGAAAGACAGGATACGGCAACGATCAGCTAACCTCAAAACATTTGGTCCCTCTGGCTCTTTTAGTGAGAAGGGCCGACCCGCATTACACCGCTATATGGAGCGCTGACCAGCTCCAGCTAACGCTAAGGCCAGAATCAGTTAGCGTGTTTCTCTAAGCTACATATGTAGCTGCGCTAAATGCAGTTTAGCGTAGCGTTGCGCCGTTGCCAATATGACGGGGCTAGCTGTGACAATGCCGGGTTTAGTCCGAAACACCTAATCAATGTCTGCTGCACCAGAGACTTGGGAATCAGCGTATGCCATTCTACTCTTCATTCTCACTTCTATTAATAAGTTCCAATCAGAATGATCGACTGTTGACTCACCAAAAACGCCGAACTACCTACCATCCCTATAGCCGCGAAGTACTTCGATGGTTCCATTGCAACTTACCGAGGCTACATTCGCAAGCCAAGACTGTAAAGAGGAGTCCTAGTCATACGCAGCCGAAATCCACGATTACCTGGATCAATCACATCAAGATAGAAACTATGACCAACCGATCTTTACAAGTTTACCAAAATTGTTCTGACTAGCTTCACTTTATCCAGACAAGACATGATTTTCTTTGACAATCGCTCCCTCATCTTCTTCAAAGTTACCAACATCATAATGAATATGCAACGCGATACTATCAGCTCCAGCTGAACTGTTTCCTTACCTCAGTAATTTCCTTGAATCCCCCTGGTTGCTTGTCTCCTCATTTTAGTCTTAATCTTCACAATCATCTTGAACAGTTATTTTAAACAAACTTTAAAATTCAACTTTCGTTTCTCCCCTGAGCTTCGTCCTAAGATCCTGGATTACATGCGAGCGTTCCTCCACTGATGGGGAGGGGCGACTTCTATCGCGGTCACTGTCCTAGTGTGCATGATCGTGAGAATTTTGCCATTGTAGAGCCTCTCTCATCCTTGACTCAACTGAGCAGCGATTTTGGACGAGGCCTTGGGGGCTTGTGCAGGAAACTGAGGGCTACTGTAATTCTAATGATGGGAAATACAAATTCGCAACCCAAAGTGTTACTATGAAAGTATCCCGGCTGGATTGATCCTTTCACCCAACTTCTTATAATCATAGCAGCCATGTAGTATCTCTGAGATGAAGACAAAAGAATGACGGGATCTGATAGGGAATCCTGACCAGATGGGCTCAACGGAGCAGCTCTAAACAATCCAAATTTTTAACCACATGGAGAACGACAACAATCATAATCCCAGCGACTAATTCGATTCTTTGAAAGCAAAAAAAACACAACCCAGCCACACCACAGCAGCAAAACCATGAGCAGAGTGGGATTTGAATCCACGCTCGAAGACTAGTGATCT